GCTTACGAGACTCGTAATCCTTGCACCATTGCAGTAATCCCTTCGTTAAGCGCAATTTTTTTTTTTTATTTTAATTTTTTTTTTATCGCTTTTGTTTTCCTACAAAATGCGAATGAACTCGACCGAAATACCAGGGTGGAATCGATTATATCTTTGCGAACGATTTACATTTTTTGCCATTGAACATTGGAAAATTTGGGACTGAAATTTTTCTAGGAAATTAATAATAAAAATATTGAAATATATGAATTGACGATACAAGAAACGATTTCTCAAAATTTGAAGGAAAAGAAAGGACTATAGCTTGTGATTTTATGTTGGATTTAGCAGACAGAAACTGTATCCGTAGGTCCAGAGATTTATCATGTGCACGTGGGTGGTGGCCCGTCGAACAGCGAGTGCCAACCTTGCGGGTGGTCGCACGTCGTTATAAATCGAAAACACCCTTGGTTATAAGGGCACGTAACGTGTCGCTGTATAACGCTCGGTAATAGCTAAAAAGTGTTTCTATCTTATAAAACTGTCCCAATATACGCGACGCGTTTAAGTCATTCGTCAATTTAATATTTTTTTATGATAGCAAATTTAACACTTGATTGTAATGATTCATTCATTTTTTTTTTTTTTGCAATACTTCATACTTTTACAGAAAATCATGTTTCTAGCAATGATCGTACGAATGAATTTTGTTCCAATTTATTTGCGATTTCATACAACTTTGTTCGTCTTAAAAAAGATTCATTTGAAATGTTTTCCAATTCGTAAAGGTTTTTTTTTATGATCTAAAGTTTTGCCAATTAAAGTGGATAATTACGGATCGACCTCTTAAAGCATCGATGCAAAGTAACGTGCTTTTCTGTATTCCTGAAAGAAAAACATTCTCGGTCGGTTTCTTCTCGATTTAGGGAAGTCCCAACCCTCGTGGGAACGTTCACACTAGTAGCTCAATTATCGTTCGTTCGATTCCCATAATCTTTCCTATAAGAGTTCCATTTATAAACTTCTTCTTTTTCTTTCTTCTCCTCCTCTTAGATTATTTTAATTAAATAATCTAACCTGTTCTTATATTTACATTATTTATTTCGTCAAAAGCTATTCAACAGGTTGCAAAACGAGTGACTGACATTTGTTGAAAACTTGTTTAATACTTGAATATAATTAATTACGAGATTAAAATCATAGTTGAATAGTTTGAAAGAGTACTCGGTATAAATTCCGTTCTTCTTCATTCTCGTCATGTTCTCCATTGCGTTCTTAATCATTTTTTTTTTACTGTATTAAAATGCAACAACTTGATAAGCTTGGTTAAGCACAATGATATCTTCATTATCTGATCTAGTACGGAAAGTCAGAGGCTTGAAAAGAGTATTCAACAAAGTCTATTAAAAGATAGGGTTATTTTTATTTTTACGAACTATGTGTACTCTTACCTATATTGAAACTATGAGAAAGGTTTCATATTATTTAACGTTACTTTTTTTTAATGACTCATTCGTACATAAAATGATAATGCGCTTTTCGTTTTGTTCGTTTACGTCGAAGGAATCGAAGTAAAATAGTTGATGCAATTATTTGCAGTTTAGAGTAGAGCAAATTGACTTGGTTCGGTCACAATTTCGACTGGTACGAACATTCCTGAGTACCCAAAGAAACACATTACGTGATTCGCATCGCATTAGTAGACTTTCTGCCCTCATCCTCTCTTGAGGATAACGCGAGGCAAGTCGATTATCGTCGAAGAAAATGGTACGAGCATGGAATACACGCTCTCTCGACCATTTCACCGTCCGTTATCGTCGTTACGATTTTTATTTGTTTTTTTTTTGAGGGAGGGGGGGTCTTTTTCCCTCCTAGGAAGATACCTACTTAAAACTTGGCGAACGTAAATGTAAATTATGTAAATGCAATGTGAAAACATCATACATATTAAGTATACACGAGTATAACATTAAATATAGAAATATTTGAATATATAAAATATACCATGGTTAGAATATTATAAAATAATATGTGTTGAAAGTTATCGTTATATAATCCGTTGATAGGAAAATACTATTGAGTGTGTAGTTAAAAAGGAAAATAATGAAGCTTTCAGCTTCTTCTTCACGTCATCTCGTAGAGAATTCCTCTTGAAATATTTGTGAACGGTCATCGGCTATTGTTTGTCGCCCGATGCTCCAGTACTTTTATTATTTCGGACGATACATTTGGTTTGCTTTTTTTATTTATTTTTTTTTTTTTTTTCACGAAACGCTAGCTCGCACCTATTCACGCTCAAAATTTAATAAAGCCACGGGGGCTTTCTATTTTATCGTCCATGAGATCGAATCGTACATTCGTAATATTCTTCCTCACTTTTTTTTTTTTTTTATTATCTATTTCTTTCGTTGTTGTTGTTGCTGTTGCTGCATTTGTGCTGGTGGTGCTGAAATTCACCAAAAAAATTTTCGTTCTTTCGTCTTAGCGCGTTATCGCCTTACGAGAGAACACGAGATAAATCACGAATTGTTGCACGCAACGTTGAACATCGTAAATTATGTCCGTCGCAACGATCGAGTTCACTGGCTAGGTTCAAATCAATTGAATTTCATCGTTCTGATCTCAACGGTATACAGTTAATGCTATGCAATCATTTAAAACTTCAAAACGTTTAACATTTTTCAAAATAAAATAATAATAATATATTTAAATTATGATCGTACTGAAAATTGTATTCTTAAACTTTGAATAGATTTTAAGATAGTAATTGACGACTTTAAGAAAAACGTATGGATGATGCTATGAAGCTTCCATGTTCTGGGTTTCTTAGAGATAGGAACTTTGAACAACGACGAGCCGATACAAACTCTGAAATATGTATAGTCAAGCGTTATCGTCCAATGTAGAATAGAGAGCTTTCCTCCACCAACATACCTATACTCTTCTAGCCCTTCAAACAAAAAAAAAAAGGCCACTTTTAAAGCTTCACCATGAGAAACGTTCGATAATGGGTTAGCGTATTGTTGAAGGAAAAAAGTAAATGAAGAAAAATGTGCTTCGGTAGTTTCGCCAAAATCATTGGAAATATACACAACGAGAGCGTGAGTTAATTTTCGAGAGAAAATCTACAGTTAGACGTATTGGATATTCCTATATTGTATAGTGTACATATATCTATATATATATATATCATTCGTATATCTATGCTATTTAATCACTATGTGAGCACATATGTATAATATATGTTGATTTTCTATTGAGAGATAATTATGTGTATACCTCCGTCCAGGAATATATGTATGGGTTGTACGAATATCTATCGTATAGAGTTATGTGTACAGTTATAGAGCATTAACTAGGAACAAACGCTTTTGTCGATAATTAAAAAATGAATAATAATAAAATGGAAAATTGACGGGATGGGTGAGTGGGTCCTTTTTTAATGTTATTAATGGATAATTGAAAGTAACTTTAATTAACGTAGTCGATTGTTTCAAGTAAAATATTTGAAAAGAAAGGAAGGAAGGAAGGAAGGTATATACATGGTGTTCTCGTGAAAATCAAGCCAGGAAGCTCGTTTGAGATGAGAGTATTACTCGTTAAAGAATACGAGTAACAACGTATCACCAAGCTAACTCATTATAGTGTAATTACTTCTTAGTTACTCTTAATTAAGTATACATAATCCTGCAATTTTCAAGCAAATACGCGAGCACTGCGCAACGGCTTTGCGTGAATTTGCATAACCGATGAACAAATTATACATGTATCCGGTTGAGAGTAGCTGAGCGAGAGCACGATTATAAATAATCGAGAGCTAATCGAATCCCGAATTTATTTGCAAATCAGGTCTACCATTAACGAACTACGATAAGTCCGGTTTTAGATTTTCAACGAATCGCGTGTTCCGAGATGGAAAGATCAAGGATATGCATTAATAAATTGTTTAGTAAAGTAATGAAAAAATTCTAAAGGGAAGATTTCTCTTTTCGAATCAAACAAGCGGAATAAAGTATTACTTTACCTGTGCTCGCATTTAAATTATTGATACAAGGTAATTGATAAAGTTCATATATTTAAAAAGAACAATATTAATATATTTATCAAATTAATCAACAACAAAATTTGATCAGAGTACATTGAAAATTTCATTCGAACGTTTTCTATTTGACTTGGATAAAACTGTAAAGAAAAAAAAAAGAGAAAAGTGTTGCCCTTCCACGAGCAACTAAATTGATCTTTCGACTGACGGTCTAAAAACGAGTACTTTAGTGAAAAAGGGCGCGAAGCTAAAAGAGCCCAACCAGAGAGGAGCAACTGAACATCGTTTCTTAGAGTTTATATTTGAGATGAAGGAACCGTAGAAGGAGAGAAATGGGAAAATGCCGGCGGGAAGTGGTAAAGGTACACATCATGTCAGACACAAAACATCAAGAAGGAAGTCAGAAGGACGAGACATGCGCATTAACGTTAATGCTTTTCGTTCGTTGCAAAATCGGTAGTATACCGTGTGTGATCATATTTTCAATCAAAATATCATTTACAAATTTCATTTTAATTTGTATGCATCCGGTATTAATTTAATTATCGATTTTAAAATTGAAACAAAAAATCCTAATTCATTTGCTTTTATCTTGCGGATTAATATTTTGTAATTCAAAGAAGTATAGATAAGGAGAAGTTGAATATTAAAAAGTTTGCAAAGTTAAATGGAAAGGAAGGTGAGATATTTTGATGATCATTGGTCTCCAGACACGTTGGTCGATCTCAGGTAGATCGAGTTTCGCCGATTTCTTGTAAGGAAAGGAATCTCAGACTCGAACCAGCTTATCCTTGATCGACCTCAGCCTGCCGTATCGACCGGTTTGCCTATACTTCCGGCCACGTCCCTGGCTGTGATGCGCGTGGGGTGGTCTACGTTTCTCCCACCCTCGACAGTTCGAACGGCGACCAACGTCGTTCGACGCACGCGCAGGACAACGTGCAAGCTCTTTCCTAATGCCAGTCCGTCGGGGGTCGAAGTCACGCCAACGTCTGCCACCGGCCCCTCTCTCGGTTCTTTACAATCGCATCCCTTAACGAAGCATCCCTTAAGACAAATGTTTCATAAATTTCACTAAGAAAACAAAATACAAAACAAACGCGACTCTCTCTTTTCTTTTGACTCATTTTTACCATTGTAAGTGTCCTCGTGTAAACGTGTTGCAATTTAAGTGATCGAAGAAAAAATAACGTTTTAAGGAATAGTGGATAGGAGTGTTGTTGGTCCAGTGTTATCCTGAATTTGTGAGATAATAATGATGATGATGACTTTTAGTGAGTGAATCCTAGTGTTCTTCCTTTAATCTCTCCAATTGTAAATCTCATTTATCGTAAAGAATCGGTGATACTCGCATATTTATTCTGTGATACATTTTTATACTTTTTTCTTTTCTTTCGTCTCTTTGTTTTTTATTTACTACGACACGTTGATGAAGAAAAAGAGAGAGAGAGAGAGAGAGAGTAAAGGAAGATCAATTGTATTAAAGCTTAAGGAACAATTGTTGAGATAAAAAAAAAACGTCCGTCCAAAGAGACTCGCCCTGAGACAAAAAAGCGGCCGAGTTTGTTGATCAACCGGTGTACGAAGAAATCATCCCTTAAAATGAAACGTTCACGCAAATATCCGAAAGCAAAGGAAACTCGTATTTCCTTAAATAAATTTCAATCGTTTCGTTTATTCAATTCATTTATATTGAGTGTAATTTTGTCCATGTGATTTTTCAAAGTGTACGATTAAAAAATACTTCTTTTTTTTTCGGTGGTAGAATTATCTACGATTAGGAACACAGATAGTGGAAATAATTGTACATGATAAGAAAAAAGGGATGTCGAAATTTGAGGTAAGATCCATCAGCCTCTCTCGACTTTGTCTTCCGTCGGGAGGTGGCTTAGAAAATCGGTCAGTGTTTAGACGCTTTCGGTAAGTTTTGCTGAACGCACCAATTATGGTCTCGAGCGTGTCCTTAAACCGGCTCGAAACTTGTGCGTAGGAGGGTGGAGGATGAGCGGGAAAGAATTAATTCTCGTAAAAAAGACTATGTGAAGTGATAATCGAATGAAGAGGATTAGCCGTAGAATAATATCCAGGTGATCATTGTCATCGAGAAACGAGATTCAGCCAAAAGAATGTTCAGGTGATTGTCGTTGAAGATTTGGAAATAAATCTTTCTGGAAGAAAAAAAAAAATGATGTCGTCGAGGTGGTCGTCGATGATCGATTGATTTGAATTTAACGAGGAAGGGATACGGAAGAGTATGTTGAGGTGGTCAACGTCATCGTCGATGATTTTGGCGTCAATGATCCTGGTGTTGGAGCTGATGCTCGCCGCGCTGGCAGGCGCCGAGCTCAGCTCTCGAATCATCAGGACGAAATACGGCGAATTGTCAGGTGTAATAGTCAATCTCGATCGTTTTCTCGAAGGTGTCGAAGTATTTCGTGGTGTACCATACGCCTCCCCACCGATCGGTTCGTTACGTTTTATGCCACCCGTTAGCGGCGCCTTGTGGCACGGCGTCAAGGTCGCCGATAAATTCGGACCCGTCTGTCCGCAAAAGCTTCCGGAATTGACCGACAAGATGCCCAAAGGCAGGCTCGAATATCTCAGAAGATTACTACCCTATCTTCGTAATCAAAGCGAGGATTGTCTCTACCTCAACATTTACACGCCTGTCCAAGGTGAGTTCTTTCCCTCCAACCAAATCACTTTTCATTTTTAACTTGAAAATATCAATTTTTACGTTTCAATATTCTTCTAAGGATTCGCAATAAATACATCGGCTATTTTTTCTTTTCTTTTTTTGTCCGACCATAAAAGTTTTAATAAATCATATCGGATCTGGACGTTCGTATCAAATATGTGTCAAGATACAATCGAATTCCCATCGAGAAAAAAGCAAGGGTCGCTTTTTCCGACTATCTCCAATCGAATAACCGAAAATATGGAGATTGGAAGCTTACGAGACAAGCGGAAGGAGATTTGCAAGATGTTTTAGTAATGCTTATCAGATTGAGCTGAGAAAATGAGAAGGGAGACAGACTTACCTGTTTAAACACGATCTAATTTCTACGGATGGATTCTGTGTATTGTATTTCTCGACTACGTAATTACAATTCTCTAACGAAACTTTCACGAAATTGAACAATACGTCATGATCCCTTATCATCCCTCATCTTTCTTTCTTGACAAGAAAGACGATCTAACCATTAAAGTGGTTCATTTAAAGCACGAACCTCTTTAACTTTAGTCTCTAGTTATGAATAATTTTGAAGAAGATCGAAACATGAACAATTTGTAGATGATAGGAAGAGATAAAACTTTTCATTGTGCAAGAAAAACATGTGGAAAGAACGCATGAAGAATTTAACGTTAATTTTATAGGGGGTTGAGTCGGGGTGAATAGAAAAAGAGAAACGTCGTCGTTGTGCCTATCGGCTTCGCCATTTTAGAATAATAACTCAACGTTAGCCGAGGCTATTGTCGAGGTTCTCGGTGCAAACAAAGAATCCATGAAAACGGCCATTAATTTAGCGATTTGAATGGGAAGTGTTATTTTATAGTCGGGCCTTCGTTTCCCATAAATCGCCACGCGGAATTCGTATTCTCGTGTTACACCCCACATCTCTCTCTCTCTCTCTCTCTCTCTCTCTCACTCTCTCTTTATCTATCTATCTATCTATCTATCTATCTATCTATCTATCTATCTATCTATCTATCTATCTATCTATCTGTCTATCGTTGTCTTTGTCTTTCACCTTTGTCCCTTTTCTGGTGACCAAGCTCTCCCTTTCTCTCTCTCTCTCTCTCTCTTGTTTACTACCCCTTCCTATTTTTTGTTGTTTTTTTTTCTTCTTTTACTTGCTATTTGATTTTTTTTTTATTTTTTTTAATAGCGTTTTCTGTCGGTCGCTTGCGTATATGAGTACCGTTGGCGTTCGTGCTATCGAGTTGATGTTTTTAAATTTATATAGACGGCTGACTCGTCCGGTTAGATGACCGATAGACGCCTAACTGTGACTTATAACTCTTCCGCGTTCACTGAATTTCTATAGATTTTTGTCATAGTATCGTTCATATGTACATACGCGTACACTCTCTAACAAATGGAATGTTTCAAAGTAATTCCATCGAGTTAAATCCAACAACATTTGATACACAATTATTTATCCATTTATTTGCAAACGAAAAATTCAGTCATAAAGTTTCCAACGGATATTTGTTACACGTTACTTTTCAAATGGCGTAAATTTTTGATTAATAAATATTTATAATTGTTAAAGTTAATAAAAGAAAAAAAGGGTCCGAACCGAATCTAATGAGATTTTATTAAACGAAACTTTTGTTAAACGTAAAGATATGTCATTTTTAGTATCAAAGGAAAAGTTGTTAGATTACTTTCAAAGTGTTGTTAATTTTATTATGAACATTTTGTGTTAAGTTGAAATATAGAATTGAGAGAAAGAGAGGGAGGGAGACTCCTGGAATAGGGGGTGGAAAATTTGAGCTTGATGCTTTAAAGCATAATGCAACTGTTCTACAAATTTAGCGATACGAATAATAAGCGTAATAATTATCACTATGATAGACTCGTCTTAGTAAAATAAAGAAAAGTCTTCTATACAAAGCAAACCCTTAAATAAAAAATGACGAAGCTTTTTGGGAAGAGAAAGACATATCGAGAGAACTAAATTAATTACACGAAGCTTGTTCATTTTCTCGTCAGTAAATGAAAGCAACGAGTTCGCGTTTTAGTCCAAGTTTAACGGAAAAGTAAAAACATATAAATACGTACGTCTTTTTATCTGTATCAGTATGTGTATTTTTCTCCCGCGAATATGCAAAACGTTTTCAAGAAGATTGCAGAAGTATGTGTATCTTTCTTGAGTATCATGTGTATGGAAGAATTTTTATATCGGTGGTTTCTTCTCGACACCATCGTCTTCAATTCGACGATATCTATTTATTTGCATCGTCGATGTTGGTAATCGTTATCTGACTACATACCAAATTCTCCATTCGTATCTACTTTACGATCCTATCGAATCTTTTCGCAATTCTTCGATTTCATCTATCATATTTCTTAAATCATTTTATCGATACTTTCTAATGCAAAACTAATGCAGCTTAAACTTTTCTTTCGTCGATAAAACGTAACATTTTTCTTCTTCGATTAGGGGTAATTAAATTTAATGAAAATGAAACTGTCTTATCAAGTTTCGTTATTTCATAATTGTTATCATGTTACAAAGAAATAAACATATTTCAAAAAACAAAAAAAAAAGAGAGAATGTTAGCAGAGACAAGAAAGAAAAGATACGACGGACATGCGCTTACTCCTTGCGTATCATCATTAGGTTGAATTAAAACGTACAATGAATATGCATCACAATTCTGTAAATGAAAAAATATAGTGTGAAAGAGAAATAAATAGAAATGGGGGTGTTTGTAGTTAAGGTGTGTATATGTGTAACCACGGTTAAACTTAATCAAATAAGAAAAGTAAGAAACGTAGGAAAAAGAAAGAGGTAAGGAGACTAGTCCCTCGTTAATTTTCAACGTACTCCCGACTACCCCTTAAATCTGGGTCAATGACTATAAACGTGAACGCATAACCGTAAAAGGACGAAGTTTATCGCACGACGCTCAGCCGTTCACTCGGAAACGAACTTAACGAAGGTGCCTCTGTCCAGTCGTAGACGTCATGGAGGTTGGGGTTGTTTCTCATCTTCGAGATCCTAATGCTTCTATTTTTTCAAGTGAAAACTTCTTTAAAAATCGATGAAAGATTACTGCGTGCTTCAGAATCGAACCTTTAACTATTACATTTTTAGTTTAAGCATAGAAAAGATTGTCAGATCGATCGATTTATCGCGATACCATCCTCGTCATCCGACTTTTATAATCTTAAAATCACACATAATCCAGAGAGAGAAACTTGAAAGTTCTGTTCCATGTTGTAATCCGACTGACCGTTCATCCTATTGGAGAAAAATATCCGATAAGTTGGCAAGAATGGTTAAGAAGGGTAGGAGGAGGAGGGAGTATTCACGTAATTCCTTCGATCGAGGAAAAGAAATTGCGTTTAAATGGGCCATGCAAATTCGCGAGAGGAAGGGTGAAGAGTGTAGAGGTTGGGTTGAAAACACCCCCTCTGTCGAGGGATGGCGACGACGACGACGACGACGACGACGTCTCCGCGTTACGTGCACGAGGAGAATCTCGTTATGCTAATACCGCGGCAACGTTCCGCGTCCGGTGGTAAGCGTGCGGAAAACGAGTCGCGGATTCCCGAGGAAATTCATAAGGGATGGTTAGAGGTAGGGGGACGTCGAGAGGGTTGAATCGTCCAGCTATCGATTCGTTGCCTGGCTGGCTCGCGACGACCGCGTTTCGTTTCCCACCTTCGCTCGCACCCCCTTTACTTCCACCACTACTACAACCACCACCACAACGATAACTCGTCTTCGCAGCACGACGGATATGCTCGCGGAATGACGTACAAATATCAAGGGTTGGAGAGGGAGAGAAGAACACGGTGATACGAGCCGGATGTAATTTTGGTCGGTGCAACTTTGCAGGATGATTGCCAACCTAATTGTCAACTTTCATTTGTAGATTTCACGGTCAATACACTTTGATCTACCCAGTGATCTTTTTCCGTTCGTATTCGATTGTTATATCTTGTTAATATGAATAAAGGATAGAAGACTACTTGTCGTTAATCGAATCGGATCTTTTTAAGTCGCGTTGCAGTTCGACTAAGCACACTACTACTACTACTACTACTACTATTACTACTTATCGTTTTCTGAATGCGAACGTGATACGTAAACAAGACGTATAGGCAACGTTATACGTTTGATATACGGCAGAAGGTGGATATCTCGATGTATGAAAAGACTCGATATTGGAGTTCGCCTCGATATATCACCGGATAAACTAAGGAAGGACGAAATTGCGATTCGGTATACATGCTCGATACGTACACGTATCACGTTTATTGAAAATATAGGATAAAATATATGGGAGATAGGTCGATGTGCGTTGAAGCGAATGAAACTGAAAGATACTACATACAACGAGAGGGAGTTGACGATTTTCAAACATTCCAAAATGTTTCTACGTTAATACCTTAATAAGATTATAACAGGTTAACAAAATTACCTCGATCAATGAATCGTCGAAAGATTCCACGGTAAAAATACGTCACTCTGTTTCTCTGTGTCTGTGTCTGTGTCTGTGTGTGTGTCTGTGTGTGTGTGATAAATTATTCAACACGTCCGAATATTCGTACGCAAATTTTTATCAGCGAGATATCTCGTAAAATAATCGTAGACAAATATCGATGATTATTAAATTGGAAACTTGATTTATAACGAGAGAGTGAAAAAGCAACCTATTCATATCCAATAGGCACAACTAATTATTACGGTCGATAAATTAATCGATAACTAACATCCAAGTAGTTCGTTCGTTCGTAAAGAAAAAAGAAAAAAAGAAAAGAAGTTGCAATCGCGTTTCGCATTTCGATCAAAAGATCATCGAAAAAACTTAGTGAATTGGTTCGCATGGATGCAACGAAACGAAGGTAGTGGGACGTATGAGGGGGAGGGAGGGGTGCTCTCAAATGTTCGTGGTTAATTATGAAATTCAATTAAAACGGTGGTCGTACGTGCGA